AACGAGTATATGTGTAACCAGATTGTTCGAAATGTATTGCGCTAATATATCACATAGTTCTGATAATCTTTGTCTTCTTATTACACTATCGAAGTTGTCAAATTCATTAATGCCTGACTTATTTTGTGCTTTGTAAAATAGCACAATAATTATGGACTTATAACTGAGGCGTCTGATGATGAAGTTACTGAAAACGATTGTTCGCTCAAATACTCTTCACTTTCGAAATTACTACCTTGGTTATTCAGATTCCTAACCACTAGTGATGAAAATTTAAGGGTATGTTTGCAAAAACTTACCAATAAGTGACTAGTTAACCTGTATTTCAAAATGTGTCCTCATACGTTTAAGAATAAACGTTTTGTTGCTGATTCGCTATCAATAGTTCATCACTGTAATTTGATTATAATGAGTATGGATATTTATGGAGATTGTATTATTTTTGCAGTTGAATTCACTAGTCGATCTAAGCTAGATCTCAAGTGAAAACCCGGAAACACTAGACGGCCGTTTTGTTGTAGTATGAAAATCCTCGGCAGTGCTCACACACGACCCTCATGAGGGAATAGAACTCAAGACCTTCAATCTCGAGCGCGTAACCTTGACCTCTAGACCACTAGGTCAGTATCCAAAGATGTTTATGTCCCACTTCAACCAATCCACGATATTGAGCGACCCTTGTGATTAATTGAAATCCATGTACTATAATGTACTTTGAATGGATATCGAAATCTGCATTCATATTTTTGAGCTTAATTTAAATGATAAAATACTGTAGGACAGTCTCATTGTCGTGTAATATAAAACTGTAGTTAAAGAAAAAGTGGGTTATATCAACTCTATCCGAGCACTATATGATACAACGGGTTATCAATAGACATTGAGAAAAAAGTGGAATCCATTGTCTTAGTAACTACGTAAAAATAAAACGTAATTTGTTTCGTTGTGCTGATCACTTTGACAAGAAAAAATTGATAAAATTCTTGTACATGTAATTTCTTTACCTATGAAGAGACTATATATCACTCAGTTTGCTCACTTACTTACATCTGCTACGCCCCTTCGTGGAGTTTAGACCACCCATCAGCATTCTACATCCGACCCTATCCTCGGCAATCCTTTCCGGTTGTTTTCATTTGTTATTCGTCCTTTTCATATCTGATACCATTTACCGACGTAGTGTTTTCTTCAGCCTTCCTCTTTTCCGCTTCTATTCTTGTTGATGAACACAAGTGTCTAATGACAATTAAATGCACTTGAATGCTAATAAAAATTTTAAGTCAAAAGGAGAAAATTATTTTTCGTTTAACTATTGCCATGAATAATTTTAGAGCATCATTCGAACTAATAACAGTTATCACATGTGTTTAAACTTATGAATAAATCACTTCAGTAGGACAATGTTGTGGTGTATATTATTTATGTCAACATACATAGCGTGTGATGGTCTGCTGGTCTGTTATCAATCTTTCATCTATCTTATTGGCATCAAACTCAGCCGATCAATAATTTGCTAATGGTGTACACATTCATATAAATACGAAAAACATAATGGTCTAATTCATAAACACGTCTGATTGCTAACACGTGGCCATTTGAGTTGACCCGATAATTATAAAATCAATTGTAGATTAACCTATATTGACGTTCTCCATTTCTCAAATTGAAATAAGTCTAACCAAATGTGACGTGCTATACACTACAATATATGTGAATTAACAAGAACGATTTTAATTATGATCATGAACCGATCAAGATTAAACAACCATTGAAAACATGAAAGCATTGGACGGCCGATTCGGCCTAGTATAACACTTCAGAAGCGCGCATTCACAATCCCGCACACGGGGTCCGAACTCAGGACCTTCGGTTAGGCGTACGAACGCTTAACATCTGGATCACAGAGCTAGCATTCAACTGTGTTATTGTCTAACTTCAAACAATCCACGATATTTTGTGACATCATCCACACCCGACACAGTTGAACTCGACTGGTCATTGCTTCTCACTAGAACTCTCGAAGCTAGTCACTATTGAGCATATAAGGGTGTCAATACATCTTAATTGATACACAAAAGTCTCCAAAACACTATGCTAATAAGAACGCTTCTAATTGAAGTCAGAACTAAGTAATCCTGAGACCGAAAGCGTTGGCGAGGAAGGAGTAGATTCCAGGATAAAATGTTGCAAGTCCTGAGGTTTTGTCACTGAAATTATTACACATATAATACATCTTTTCTGGTACGGTTGTGATGTGTTGCACCGACATCTAGAAACGATGAATAACTGTAAAACATCTATAGGCAACAGATGACCATGTACATCAGATTAGGCTTGAGTACAATTAGCAAAGTAAACACATCCTTCCGATACTGATGAATGGCTCGATTTTGCAAATCAATATGTGTGTTATTTCAGTCACGATTGGATTTAGAGAATATCCAGTAAACGATTAAGTTGCTGATACGTAAAAGAAGATTTGAAAACGTGTACGAAATTGAGTGGTGATATTGAGAGTGGAAAGTAAAATAGCACTGAGCCCTAGACAAATCATCCGGCTGTTGCATCACTGAATATCGAACAGATCATCGATCCCGGTCAAGGACAAGGAGAACCAACGCGCATCAGTTAATCGCATACCATGAACTGGCTCATGCAGTGGCGATCTCGCTTTCTTATCTGTACACATTCTTATTCATACATATTCATAATAACGTCCTTTGTGTTATAAGGTCTTCAAAACAGCCATAGTAATTTGATACATCGTGGGGGTAATCCACGTTAGATAATGTCCGCGAGGTGTGATTTCGAAGTTAGCTGGTTCGTCACACAATTTCCGTCGAACTCGAGCGGACCTCAAATCATTCGAGATAGATCATCTACGTCGGTGATCTACAATGTTCAAAGGCTGATCGACACAACCTAGTAGTCAATGTTGGATCGTCAAATCACTGTTCAATCGATGGTCAAGTTCAACATCATTCTTTGATACTGTGATAGTCTGCACTAATGGTGACTTGTTTTCCATTCGTCACAAGGTGAAATCTGTTTGACAACACACAGTAGTTCGCACACCATACGATGCACATCACAATTCGTCGTTTGGTGAATCACTAGTTTACGATGGCCACAATAATGAGATAATGTTACTGTTTGTTCTGTATCGAGTTGCATATTCTCCATCGCTCCCTCATTTCGATCTGTCATTACGGGAAGAGTGAAGTCGAGATTGTGACTTTCTTTGAATTCATTTGGTTACCATAATATTTAATACAGGGTATTAGAAAAATGACGGCACTGAATGAGTGTCCATAGAATCATACATAAGTGAATATCATCAATACAACTCTGACTGAGAAACCAGCAAAATCATACTGCGAAATAATGACTTGCATGTAAAGTTAAACAGGTCATTCAGAAGTGGTCTCTTGCAACCAAGTGAAAGTGTGTTTCTGCAGATTGCTTGATCAACTGACTCGGTTGGTGTGATGAGTGTGATCAAGTGACAGCTATTCACAGAAACTCAACTGTTGACTCAATGCTCCCAACGAGACAGACATCAAGATGCAAAATAACTCGTTAACAACATTAAATCTCATCTCACAGCAAAACATACTCTCGTATAGGAAACAATTGACACAAATTAGAAATGATTAAAATTCAACATCAGAAAGTTGATGAGTGATGATTTTAAATTTTGTCGATCACTCACCGACAAATAGATTGGAGGTGTAACTATCAGTCTCACTTGTGGTGAATTGAAATGCAATAAACCACTGACTATGTTACGCCTAAGTTTTCGTATATTTCTCAACACCAATATTGATAATTTCAGGAAATCGATGGAAATTTGTGGACTCAATCAGTCACCTGACAACGGCCAACTGACAATGGTTAACAATGTTGTTCTAATGAAGCAACAAAAGCAACACTACAATCACGTGACGTCATTCCGTCGTGATCAATATACGTAGTTTGTTTTAACTGGAATGCAAAACATTACAACATCATCACATAATATGACGTTTGATTTACATCACTGTCAACAACATAGGCTCGTCTAACTACTGTGATCAACAACTTGACTTACAATAACAATGAATAATGCTAGGGTTTCTAATAATATTCTTACTATTTTTATCAGTCAAATGCTTGTTGATGCACGTCAAAATTATCGGTCATGTTTTATTTATTTATTTGAACACATAACCACTGGTACAATGTGGCACCAGATACATATGCGCTACACAAATCAAATGAGATTTGTGTGAGGGCTGTGATATTGCCCATGTGCCCAGACCGAAGCACGATCGCTCATGTAATCAGTAATATACACTGTTCAGTAGTTACACATTGTCCTATTCTATTCAGTTTGCACACAAAGTGAGGCGACTGACTTAAATGATTGGAAGCGAAGCGTTGTAGGTCGAAACACATTTCCACCTACTTCATTTCGAACAGCAACAAGTTAATGCTAATTGAACTTACATTGATGGTATAATGCTCAGTCACACACAAAGTCGAATTGGTGACTTCAAACGCATCTCCTGTTCATCGACATCTTCAGTGTCATTTATTTCTAATAAAGCCTTACAACGGTTTCATTCACCACTGCAGACGTCAACACAACGATATTCACGGATAAGAAAACAAGAACAACATGTTCTCTCACGATTTCAATATCAACAAATTAGACCGTCAGTTCCAACACTGTTTCACATAGTCCCGTATGAGTGCAGTCAGTTGATGTTCACACCACACAAGCCGCCTCCTCGTCATACGTGGAACACGAAAACTCGTCACCTGAATTCGGATCAAACGAGCCACCTACATCATAGTGTTGAATTAACTTGACAAAGTGAAATCACACACAATCGTGTCATTCTGACAATACAACCACATCATAGTATTCGCAATCTCTTCGACCGGTCCGACACACACATTAATAAAATGAAGTACACTGTAGTTCACAGTGAACACTCAAACGAACATATGAATATATCGGAATGAATGGAAGGTGTTATTTATATGGAAATCAATTTAACACTTTACAAATTCATGTGTAGAACAGCACACAGATATCTAGTCACTCAACATGAATATAGTGATCAATGAAAAATGATGAAAAGTTTATTTCTTATTAACTTTGATCCCATGATCACCACGTTTCCAGTTCACTGGACACACTTCACCATGCTTCTCCACAAATTGGAACGCGTCCAGTAGTCGTAATGTTTCGTCTACAGATCGTCCAACTGGCTTGTCATTGATCGTGATTTGACGTAGAATTCCCTTCGGATCAATGATGAATAAACCTCTAAAAAGGAAGGCATAGTGAGGGAAATGATAAATAGAAGTACAATTAAACTCATGTCTATGTTCAAGTCGATAACCAATAATCTCAATGCAATAGGTAGTTCAGTCAAGTGTTGAGATTCGGTTGTCTTTACGAACACTGAGTTCTAATGGTCAGAAATTTCATGGAGAAACACAGATTCTGTGATGCCCCAAATACAATTTGTGCTGTGTCCAATCTAATAACACATTGATTGATTTTCTATTCAAGAATACGGATCGAATGAGAATTTGGTTCAGCAAACATTTAACTGTCAACGGGTGAAATGTATGTCAGAACGCAGTCAAAAGTAGAACAGTGGAACGTGTCAGAGAACTTGATATATCGTTGACTACACACAGGGCAAGACACTGAGAAACCAGTACAATACAAAACTGAAACATTGTTTCAAGAAGATTCTTGCATCCTCGCACAATTATTTCAATCTCCTATTCCAAACTGGAAACTAAACACGATTCGTTCCACACGTCTATCAGTCTGATTCTCAACACAGATTATCGAAATCGCAGCAAACCTCAGACAACAAATCACACGAATACAAACACACCACTCACCTGAATGCATTACCATCCTCCTCATCTAATACACCATATGCTCTGGAGATCTCCTGTGTGCGGTCGGCCAACAGAGGAATTTTCATCTGACCCAATCCACCCGATTTACGATCCAAATTGTTCCATGCAAGATGACTGTATTGAGAATCTGTAGAGCAGGCGATCACTTGACAATTTCGACTGTTGAACTCCTCCACCTGGTCACTGAACGCAATGATTTCAGTGGGACACACGAATGTGCTGTGAAAGAATTATGAGGAGGAGAGTCAGTGGAATGATGAAACTACATGCAATTCCACGCATTCACATTAGGCATATTAGTCGAGCAGTGAGCAACTTGACTATGTAATTCGACATGTATCAAGAAAGCATGTCAGCCAACCAGTCAGTCAGTTAGTCACTCCGATAGTTAGCCACACAAGTGTCAGTTCAGCCATATTGAATTAATCCTCATCATAATTATCAAGCGAACGATAAATCTGTGCATCATCAGTGAGACGAATTTCACACTGCTGTCTAACTATTCGTTGCAGCATAATACTGCATTTTGTGAAATAAGGTTACACGCATTTTCTAGGACGTCTGCAGGAGGCAATTACTTAGGCATTCAATACAGTGATGTGATCAACATCGACTGTCAGAATCTCGTTGGCATGAATAAACTGGAGTCAATATGGAGATTACCAGTGTGCATCATGAACAATTTCCTAGACATTTCATCTCAATCCACAATGAGAACAGTATAAATGTACTCGTCACGTGGTATTCACTATTACCACTTAGATAAGTGGGGCCGGATGAATGATTGGTCACAACACGGTTCAAGTATTCCCGATGAGTGAACCCACACAGATGGCACCATATAAGAACAGATATTAGTATTCGGTGAGCACGACTTAATCATTCATTCCAGATATCCACATACATTGCAAAGTCGAATCAAAACAAATAAACTCCAATAAGAATTCGCGTTTATCACACCCGAAAATGTCGTCAGAAATCAGGGGATCAACATATCGTCTGACCTCTACAACAAATTACCTTACACTATCTAACAACTTCAATAAGTCTCAAATTTCATACACACATCCAACGCATAATTAGGACAGACGGTTACAACAAATACACATTCATTCAACCAGTAGAACAAGTTCGGCCAATCAGAAGACGTAATCGGTTAGAATAGAGAGGGTGAATCAATATATGCAATCAAACACTATGCAATAACTACACAACAAATATGCACAATTACTACTTACAAATCAGCTGGATAGAAGAATAATACAACATATTTTCCTCGATAATCCTTCAAACTGATCTCTTTGAATTCACCATTAACCACAGCATTTCCTTTGAATTCTGGAGCAGGTTTATTGGGCAACAATACCATGATCAATGATTACCAAGCTGACAGTGATTCGAATGTCTCTCAAATCAGGTTTTCTTGCTTATATACAATTCGAGCAACACAACAACCTTGAACATAATTGGTTCTAATTTTCACTGTCTGTTCATTGGGTTGATACAATTGAATTAAATATCAATCACATGACAGCATATTTTTTCATATCTATTGTAACACACGTAGCCTCTGGTTGATCAGCTTACATTAGAATCAACAATTCCAAACACGCTATGCTTGCATACACGTGACAAATGGATTTCATATTCAGTGATTGTGACGCAACGGGTGCATCATATTTTTGAACTGAAACACAATTAAATGATTGTGTCACAAAGTGTGAGTGCAATCACGATTTGCCTGATTAAAGGTCAATTGCAAAACGTTAACATAGAAAAGAACCAAATGAGAATGACACGTGGTTGAGAAATCGAGAAGAAATATTGACAATTCATTCAGTGGTTTGACAACTCACTACTCACAATCTGTTGAATGTGTATCACAAGGCTTCGATCAATTGATGCCACTTCCACACTTCTCTCAGTCAACATCAAACACATTCGAAATACAGCTTCTTAGAGTATTCCACAAACCAGATATTCACAAGTAGTCTCAAATCAGCTCACGATGTGGTTGCAACGATCACTCTATAGTTGCATCAATCACAAACAAATAAAATATTCCAAACCAGTAGGTTAGAAACGAAAACCGGATTAGAGAGACGTGTAGAGTAAGAATGATGGAGTGAGGACAATAAAAAAATATTCGTAACATCATAGTTAACACTGTAAAATTTAAGAAGTAAATTACTTGATAGGAATTCCACATATCTGCACAACACAAATATACGTGACCATATATCATCTTAAAGTAAACACATTCTCTGTGATTCGGTTTAGTTAGATTTTCACGTGAGATTCCGTCAAAGACATTTTCATTGTAGATTCCGATAAACAATTCGGGAAATCCATGTGGATTGTCCGATTGGTTTGGTTGTTTGTTTACTTGTCTGCCTGGTTGTTCGCTTCTTTGTATCTTTGTTTGCCTGCTTCCTTGCTTGCTTGATTGATTGATTGATGACATCCTACCAATTTTAAACTGTACACAGCTCACACTGATTTCGCAACCATCAACAAATCCAATGGTCACACAAAATACACTGTCTCGTTATCGATTCTCCGTTTCACACGGTCTGGTGAAACGTAGATCACTCGTATGCGAGTGACTAGACGATGTGAGGAGATTTCACACTGATTCATCTTCAGAGTCACAGCGGCATAACGTATCTCCAACATACTACACGAGGAAACATTGATTTTCAACTCGCTTCCACACGCTCAACCAACCGGTTTCTAGAGCTCTTCGTTCCTTCAATTCGTCCATTTCCTGACACACACACACACACGCACACATAAATATGATTGAGAGGAAATCGTTCCACTCGTCCATTCGACATCAAGTACCTACATAAACTAAATTCCTGTACAATTTGAAGCTTCCGTTCCACAGTTTTAGTGCCGATGAAACCAATCATGTCGAGTTGGTAGAACAAACACTCACATCAACTAGCATGAATAGATCAGTGTCACGAACCTGTCATTCATCACATCTCATGACAGGTAGATCAAGCTGTTTGTTGTCACTAAGCTGTTTGTTGTCCACAACGTAATGAAGGACGGCCACACGATTTCGGCCAAAACAAATAAGACAAGAACAAATACAATTTAACCAATGTGCTATCCATAATTCAACACTGAAAATTGTCACCACCATTTCAACAAACAGTATTGTCGTAGATCAATGAATTGACTGAATTATTATTTTAAATAAGATATTTCAATGTGATGGTCGTTCAACATCAAATACAATACACGACTTCCCCTTATCCATATAACCATCATCATATGTGCACATGATCACATGATAAATACACTTAACCAGAATGCAAAATTATTATTATTATTATTATTATTATTATTATTATTATTATTATTATTATTAGTATTATGAAGAAGATGAAGAAGAAGAAGAAGCAAATGAAAACAAACAACACACACGCAGTTATATCAACTAGCCACAAATAAATTGCAATTAATCCAATCACACCATCATCATCATCATCGTCAACGAAATCAACGACCACTATTGATAAGAATATTACGAAAGTGTTGATTATGAAAATCATAAATAATCACAAATACATCTACATTAAACACGAATACAATTCGACAGTTCAATTGATTTCTAATCGATGAGAAAACTTCACATTTTCTGTCGGTTAGTGTGCAAATAATATCACAGTATTTGTTCATTTGAATAAACGTTTGTGTTTTCAGCTAGAAGATTTGGACTTTGCAGGTGAGCTAATCCCTCTGTCCCATGCACACGAATAAATGCAGATGAAGATAACTAGTGTAGCAACAGCCTCTATATTAGTGGGCCTCAAGATACACAAGCGAAAAAGCAACATTCTCAAATAAAACACCGAGAACACCAACCCAGGCACATTTGATGGAGATGCTCTGGAAGATGTTCCAATATTACACGCAGCTGGGAAGCATCATCGATGAACAAGGACGATCCGATGCAGACTCAAGTGCGAAGAATGGCAAAGCAAGAGCTGCATTCATACAATTGAAGAATATATGGAACTTAAGACAACTGTCAACCAATATCTATGTCACAGTCTTCGATACGAATGTCAAGACAGTTAGTTTTAATGTACGGAGCTGAAACATGGACAACCACTTAAACCATCATCAAAGAGATACAAGCATTTATAATCAGTTATCTACGCAAGATACGGGATGTCCGTTGACCCGATACCATCAGCAACAGCCCACTGTGGGAGAGAACAAATCAGCTTCCAGCTGAGCAGGAAATTAGGAAAAGCTGTTGCAAGTGGATAGGACAGACATTGAACGAGTCATCAAACTGCATCACGAGGCAAACCCTAACACAGAATCATGAAGGGAGATAGAGAATAGGATGGCCGAAAAGCACACCATGCCGAGAATCGGAAGCAGATATGAAAAGCTGAAACAGCAAGTGGAATGAATTGGAAAGGATTGCTCAGAAAAGGGTTGGATAGAGAGTGTTGGTGAGAAGCCTAGGCTCCTCCACGTGGGGTAACAAGCGTTAGTAACTAAGTAACTATTTTCAATAAAGCAGATTCGAAATTCTACAACTCACTTCTCGTCATCTGACAAGGAGTAAATGTGACTGGATGTAATGAGTAGGTTATACAATATCACATGTTTGAATAAGTGGAAGTTAAAATGACATATGTGTGATGTTGCATGAAACCGTAATTCCGTCGTATATTACCTTTCTCATTACCACAAATCTAGTATGCTACAAACACATTCATCCACGATCTTCTCCTTTCATCATGACCTATTTACTCAAATAAAGTACACTCGCAATAGATCAGGTGATTTGTGTGTCACAATACACACAGCGTCATTAATTACCAGAATGCGTCATCTTCTGAAACCACAATCATTAAAGTGTGGGGATCAATACATTCTTACGTTTGGTGAACAATTCTAGTGACATGCAAACAACAAACTGATATCAATAGATTTTTTGATGCATTTATTGAATGGATGTCACAATATGGAATTCAGACGATGTGTGTTGTAGACTAACTGGTATTCACTTTCAAGTGATATCGACAGTGACTTTGGTTGCAGCGAACATGTGAGACAATCATCAACTGACTTGTGAGTGTGGAGATGACAATTCATCCACAGTTGTCTACAATCTTACTGAGTGTCAGAAGTGATTCACGACAACTGTGAACGTATTGTGTGGTACTGAAAGACTATTTAATTCGATCATATTAGTGTGTTTCTAGACTGAGTAAAATTCATTTTCAAATTCTATTTGCTTCACTGTTTTGAGTGTATCATCACTAACTAACAATCATTGTGGCATTGTTGCATAGACAATTATGGTGTCATTCTTCGTTCTTGCAAATCAGAAAACACATTTTTTGAAGAGCAAGTTATATGCAGAGAGAATAATGACTCCGGTAGAAGTAGTGGTAGTAGTGTGCCTATTTGTGGTCGTAGAAGTAGTGCGAGTACTAGTGGAAGGCGTAATAATAGTAATATCATATTATTTGAATTGATGAGACACAACAGTCACATCCGAATTTATTTATACACTAGTCGATAAACCATGAACTTAAATCATATTTGTGATCTCAGATGGTTGAGTTCATATTATCCAAATAACATACCACTACTGATACAACTATTCATTCAACATAGACACCTGACAATATCCAAGTAACACAATGTACGTTCAATAGAAACCGTGTGTAGTTTCGTGTTTGTCCATCCACCCCACTTATTGATTGCAATCATTGACATATCAAATGCTAAAACATCTTGAAATAAATGCAGACTGATCATATATATATATATCCTTATATGAATAGATTGACAACTATGGTTTACACGAAATACTTGCACAAAGTCGGTTCATTTAAAATAAAAATTGACGCTTTTACATTTCGAAGAGTTTTCCATCATTCACTGATGCATAACAATTAAAATCTCTCAAATTTGAACGTGTAATGTTTTGTAACTAAATGACGTGTGGAAATTTTCGGTTTATTACATAACGTGCTTTAAAGTGATGAAATCAGATTTATTTATAATAAATATTCTTAATTAAGGTTTGTTTGTTTCAGTAAATCTTTCTCAACACTTTTTTATTATGCTTATTTTGTCAAGATTGTTGAGCCCGTTATTTATGAATAGAAGAGTTGTTTAACACTAATGCCTGGAAACATGTTATTTTTCAACTCATAGAATGTGTAGTGATTCTCGATTATCAATATAAAACCCGTATATGTGTGTGGTTTGCTACAAAATGTCGATGAAATCAGTTCGAATGATGAAGCATAATCTGTTGGAAATTGTCTAGCGTGTTTGAATAATTTGTCCGGGACTGGGTAGGATGAAGTGTGCTGGTGGGCAGCCTATGCTCCTCCACGAGGAGTAATAGGCGTAAGCAAGTAAGTTTAGATAATTAATAAAAGTTCGTAGATTTCCATTGTTGGAGTTTAGAACAAGGTTAATTGATTTTCTGCTTAGAAATCTATATCCTACATGGATTGATTCAATAAAGCTGTCAGTTATACGTTTGTTGATTATTATTTAGATTGTGATAAGATTTGACATTCAGGAAATAAATTTCATCAC